TGGAGAGCGGCATCCCTGCAGAGAGCGGCAAAGTCCGATTCCAGTCCGACCACCTGAAAAAGTGCATCAACCGGAGCTCGAGGGATGACATCTCGGCCAGTAATAGGTCTCTGTACAGACAGGGCCTGGAGAGCAGGGGCGGCTTCCCCAGCGACGTGGCTGCTCTGCAGGACACAGTGCGGCAGAAGAGGACTTTTGAGAAAGTGGATTCTTTGGAAAAGAATGTGACCAGCCGGACCAGCTTGGCTTCATCAGGTGCCACGCGGCGCTCCTCCCAGGTACCTCCCCGTCTGCCCCAGGTTAACCTGTGTGTCTCTGGAGCGTCGTGGTGCTGAGCCTGGGCTGCGGCGGGGGTCAGTGTGTGTGCTGCACACTGAGCAGTGTGGCTGCAGGACGGCAAGCAGCTCATGGAGCAGCAGGGCTTTGTAGGCAGGGAGGAGAGGAGGTGGTGGAGGGCTTGGTGTGCCCGCAGCAGGTCCTCTGTGCTGCTGTGGTTTGTACTGTGGCCGGGAAGCTCCATTACGCTTTGTTCTGCCCTTTGTCAAAGAACTTGAAGATGAATCGCAGGGTGTCAAAGCTCAGAAGGATGCGGATGGGTCAGCCCAGGGGGTTAACATGCAGCATCCTGTGGCAGCAGTGCCAGTGGTGCAACTTATGTCCCCTGTTAAAAGGCGTTTGTTCATTGTTGTAGGTCTACTGCCTGCAGTTTTAGTGGTCCTCATATCTTCTTCGGTAGCCTTTGCCCTCGTGTATCCTGTCTGAGCTGCGGTGCCCAGGATTGGTGGGGAATGGGATGCAGGGGTAGGATTTGCACAGCAGCTTGACAGCATTTTGTCTTTTTCACCCTCATCCATTTGTGGTGGTTCCTTACGTTCTGTTCTCCCTTCTGATCACTCCTCAGCATTGAGTTGAGGTGTTCAGAAAACTGCTGATGTGTCCCCAGCATCTTTTTATTGGAAGTGGCTATTTTAGAGCCCAGCTGTGTGCCTGCATGGCTGGTGCATTGTTCTTCACCACACAGCACTATGGCAGGATTTAGTTTGCCATCTTCCTTCCTGTTTGGATTTGGAGGACCCTCATGGCACACAATTTTAATTTCAGATTTAATTTCCACTGAAGTCACCTCACATCCAGTGCAGCCTTGGTGCTTTCTCCCTTTGCTTTCTCCTCTGTCACATCACTGCTGTGCAGCCCAGGCCTGAAGCTCTCCGGTGGGATGCAGTGGTCAGCCCCGCACAGCAGGCAGCTCCATTTGCACCCTCTTCTGTATCTGCTCCTATTTGTTAGTCCTTGGCCTTCCTTGAGGAAACTTAGTGAAGCTCCCTGCCTGTTTCAGGTTGCTCTGATGAGCTGGGAGGTGTGACTTTTGGTACAGGGCCAGGGCAGAGCTGAGCATGGTGTGTCCGTGATGCACCATACAGAGAAGGGAAGTGCCCTGTGTGTGTCAGAAGCGATGTGTTTTGGGGCTGACTGACGGCCTTTGCTGGGTCGTTACGTGATTTCTGTTTCTTAGTCTTCTTTTTGAAACCAAAAACCACAAGATCATCTTGGTTGGCTTTTTCCTTCTCACCAGAGATCTCCTTGGAGAACGCAGTGCGCGCTGTGGGCTGCTGAGCACTTAGTGGCTGTAGGTGGGAATGGGAGGTTGAAGAAAACAGTCTGTTTCCTCTATCAGCTTGCTGGGTGTCTGAGTTCAGCGTGTGTCCCAGGCTGCTGCTTCCATCCAGAACTGAATTCGAGACTGGCAGAATGAGTGTATTTTTCTCACAAGTAGTTATTAACTGTAATTTTCTTGGGATCAGTGATACCAGAGCTCTAATTATGTAGTTATCCTTAGAGATGGCTGGGGAAGAAGGCTGGGCAAGTGCTGCATGTGAGATTGCACACAGTGTCTGGGGGGAAAGAAGCCCTTTGTCTTGGCTGCATGCCCCGTGTGCTTGTGGTGGGTGGATTCGTACATGGAGCACATGAGCTCTGGGGTGGCTGGTGGTGAAGAGTGGGGGCCCCTGGCTCCTTGGTGTGTGCCTGGTGCCTGAGGAGCCGGCCCAGCTCCTGCCTGCACTGCTCCCGGCAGCTCTGGGACAGCTTGGACAAGCAGCCCTATTCCTCTGTGCCCCGGTGCTGCCTTTGGGGATGGTGTCAGCCTGTGAACGTGCCAGCCTGGCTCTTGCAGATCTGCACTTGTCAGCAACAAACAGCACAAAGCCGTGTTTTGTACAGATGCGCTGCTTTGCAGTTGCTGGTAGCCCCATGACACACTGTTGTGAATTTTACTATCGGGGCTAGGAGTCAGCTAAGCTGCTTTTAACACGTCTTTTCTCCTTTGCAGCCCGGGGCAATAGAGTTGGACCCCAAGCAGGAGAGCAGCGGGCAGCCGGGCAGCTGTCTGGGATACCATTTCTCTTACAACACCCTGCGGAAGCCCATCTCCCAGAGCAGCATGGCAGACTGGGCTTCTAAAAACCTGAACATGCACACTCAGGGCATCTTCCGCCGCAGGATCTCCATCTCCAACATGCTGTCGTGGAACGGCGGCTCTATCAAAAAGCCGATGCTCATCACAAGCAACCGCACCATCAAAAAAGAGGCGTGCGAGATGTTCAAACTGGTGCAGAGCTACATGGGAGATCGCCAGACTCGCATGGACCGCAATCACGTGGCGTTGGTCACGGTCACCAAGTGCTGGAGCATGCAAGGTTTACGGGACGAGCTGTACATACAGCTGATCCGGCAGACAACAGACAACACCTGCTTCCGAAGCCTGGCGTGGGGCTGGGAACTGATGGCCATCAGTCTGGCCTTTTTCTCCCCATCGCCCAAATTCCAGTCCTATCTGGAAGGTTACATCTATCGCCACCTGGACAGTGATGAAAACAGTAAGTGCCTCACACGCACCAGCAGCGCCCTGGTGGGTTTTGTGTAAGAAATAGGCAGTAAGCAGGTAGTCACAGCCAGAGCCTTGCTCCCCAGCACCGCCTGCCAGGGGAGTCCGTCCTTCCTTGGCAGGAGGAAACTGCCATCAGCTCATCTCCCTTGAGGGCATTTATTGGTTGATTTGTGACTGTTTCAGCAGTGCTTGTGACTTGCCCAGTCTCAAAAATCCAGAACACTTATTCCCTCTAGGGGCTGCAGACGTAGGTTTGTGCCTCCCATGAATCCTCAGAGCAGGTGCAGAGATTCTGCCCAAAGCACATCTGGGTCCTGGGGGCAGCAGTGCTGCAGTGCTCGATGTGCACATTTGTTAGGGTTTTCTTGAGGATTCTCCCTCAAAACCACCCCTTGCAGCTATGCTTATTCCTGGAACAAAATCCCTTCCTGCCAGCACCGGGATCCAGGCATTGGGGGTAGTAATCTGAACTATTTTAGTGGGTTATTGCTTCTGCTATTTGGATATTTGGGCAATGAGTTTATTTAGGTATCGGTTTGCTGCCTGGAGCCCCTTCTCAACTGCGTGGCCATTCAGAGAAGCTGAGTGATGTCCTGGGCCCCTCAGAGGGCGCGTTCGGGGCTGGCTGTGCTACAGGACCCTGAGCAGACTTTCCTTGTCCTGGAGCTGGGCTGGCTGCTTTCGTTGCTGTCTGTGGGCACTGCTGGCCTTTGGGATTTTGTCATGCCACAGTATTAATTGCACCGCACTGAAACAGCGGAGGACAGGGAGCATTTGGTCTCCTCTGTTGCTCACGTAATGGTGCTTTGACTTTTCAGTTGCGCAGCGTATCAAGGAGCTTGTGGATCTGAAGAACAAGAAGAATTCAAAATCCAGGAAAAAGAGGAAACAAAACACCGAGGAGGAAGGTAAAGGGAGGCAGGGAGCAAGACAGAGGGCTCCACTGACTTCAGATGCACTTGATTGCTGAGCTCTGCTGAAAATCAGATCATTTGTTTGAGTGTATAGGCCTATATTTAGGAAGTTTTGCTGCAGGGCTTTGTGCGGGGTCTGGCTGGAGCACGGGCAGAAGGGAGCGATGCGGGTGGGTAGGGTGGGTGTGGGTGCCCATGGTGGCAGTGGGAACCCTTTCATTCACTGAACAGCGATTTTAAGTTGGCTGCAGACCTGGGCTGTCCTTCAGATCATCTGCACGTGGCACAGACTTCTCTAGGCACATTCAGTGTTAGAAGCCACACCAGCCAGCACACAGCCAGAACCTGTTTCAGTGTTGCTATGGACTTTGAAAGCCACCACTCAACCCAAGGACCTTCACAGGGACACTGACCTCTGGTGAAGAGCTCTGCCTTGCCCAAGTACAGGTGTACCCTTGCCCACGCTTCCTGGACTGGGCAGTCCCTCTGCTCTTGCAGCCAGAGCGCGAATAACATCTGTGCTGAATGGACAAGAGCTCACATATTACTCCAGACAAGTGTTTTACTGCTGCCTGTAGGAGAGCAGATAATACTTTGTCGGGCCTAAAATCTTCCCAGACTGAGTCTGTTCAAGTTTTTATGTTGTTTCTAGGAAACTGGAGCCAAATCTGTGCATTCATGTCAGGCAGCAGTTTGTTTATGGCAGCTTCACTGTCTCTCATTTTGGGGAGCTGGATGCTGCTTCCAGCCTGGCTCCAGCATGCAGATGCATCAGTGGGGACCTGGCAGCTGCGCTGCTGCAGAGATTGCCCTCAGGTGGCACCTGCAGGTGAGACAGACAGCCCAACTTGCTCCTTGGTCACAGCCCCCGCTCAGAGCTGCTGCCCAGTGTGAGCCAACCAGCCTTCCTGTGGGACTCGAAGCAGAGACCTGAAATGGCCTCATCGTTTAGGGGAGGAATGTGGCTTTTTCCTCTCCTGTTTCAGGCCCTGCAGAGTTTAGCCCATTCCGAGCCTTTGAAAAGTCATGGTGCTGCTGTTAGAGGGACTTTGGTATCCTATAGGGCAGCCCTGCACAGAGCGTGCTCCACCTGCGGGCTGAGCAGGCGCTGCTGTGAAATTCCCCCTGTGCTGTGTGCAGGGCTTGGGTTTAGGACGAAGATAGAGGTAGTTTTTACTAAAACACATAGGTAAGAACTAGTACTCAAACAGCACACCAAGGAAACTTTATTGTCTGCAGAAAGAAGCACTTGAAAATCAGAAATGCTTTCGTGGCCTTCACTGGGGCTCTGATGATAGCCCACGTGCTGCTCCCTTCGCAGGACTCTGCCCGCTTCATTGCAAAACAGAAGACCCGCTCTGGGAGTGAAGTGGGGTTTTAGGATGGCTGACCTGCTGCCCGCAGGCACAGAGTGCAAAGTGCAGCACAGGAGGCACGCAGGGCAGGGCTGGACACAGCGTTCCACAAATGACAGCAGTGGGAGGCTTTCTTCTGGAGGGAGCCCGGAGGAGCTGCAGCTCAGTCGGGACAATCCTGCTGGAAGTGCTGGGCTGTCCGTGCTGTTCCTTGGGGTCCCTCTGTCTGCTCCACCAGCCCCATCTGCCTTCCTTGTGAGGTTCCTGAAGCAGCAGGCTTGTTTTGGGAAGTTAATTAGTAGCCATGAGATACTTGGACGCTTGGCAATTTAGCAACAATTTAACAGAGAAATCTATAAGGAAGTTAAATGTAGTGTCTTCAAACAGAATTTGGTGATATATGCAAAGATATGTTGTATGTCTTTCAGAGAAAAGTGCAGTCAGAGCCGTGATTCCCCCCCATACCCTTTGAGCTCGTAAGCAAACAGGAGGGTGATCAAACATTTAGCATCTGACAGGCACCCAAAGAAATTCTGTGAAGTTTCCCACGCTTACCTATGCAGTCTTGGTCTTCCAGCCTAATTCTCTGTGGGTAGATGAGGTATGGAGGTGGTGCAAGATCCTTTCACGGCTCAGTAACCCATTGAGAGGCAGAAGAATGAGTAGAAATAAATGATCTGCTTTCACAAGGACGATTGTCTCCTGATCCCGCAGGAATGTTTGCTGGCCTTCGCTGTGAGCTGTACAAAGAGGCAGATAATGAGCTGCCAGCTTGGTGCTGGCACGGGGTCTGCAGGGCTGTGAAAACTAAAGGTGCAGAAGGATCTGGTGAGGGTGCAGTGCTGGGCACACAAACACAATGGCTTCTGCTGTGTGAAAGTACGTGTCCAGGGCTGGGCTCCCATCCGTGTTGTTTGCTGCATTTTTAAGACGTTTTTTGGCAGGAGAGTGTGTTCCAGAAGGTATGTTCCCCCGTGTGCCTTGCATGGGTTTTAACTTGTTATAAAAGGAGAGGTTCTTCAAGAAGCTCTCTGCATATGTTTTTAGACCAGCGCATGGAAAAATATTTTCCTTTGCAAACTGTTTTTCACTATGTGGGTTGTGAGGAGTCTTCTGTTCCTGAGCTCGCGGAGCTGCTGCGGGACCACAGGAAATGGCAGCTCAGCATGGATTCCATCGGCCCGCCGCGCGCTCACAGAAGTGGAATTACCCCGTGGCAGCCCTGCCAGGCCGAGGCCACCTGTCCTGGCTGCGGCCATTGGCCGGGGATGGGAGTGGGGACGGGCAGGAATGTGGCTGCAGGGCCTGGGGGGCGCAGTGTGAGCTGGCTGGAGCACGGCGTGCAGCACAGGCAGTGCCAGCTGGGGTTCGGGCCTTTCCCTCGGAGTCCCTGGGAAAGCAGAAAGCGAGCTTCACCTGACGTGCCTGCAGGACCTGTTGTGTCTCCTCCAGCGCAGAGGGACGTGTTGCTCTGCTGGGGAAGCTTGTCCTCTTCCTGCATCGAGAGCATTTGAGGAACTCTAGGATCCTGACCAGCTTACCTAAGCTACAGAGCTCTTGAAAGGCTGCTCTGAAATTAGCAGCATCTGACCAGAATGCAGATTTTAAAAGCCACACGTATTTTGAACTCTGTTGCAAGCTTTAAGCCTGGCAGGGAATCAAATAGGGCAGATCTATTCAGTGCTTTCAGCGAGCGATTTGGGTTTGACTCGGAAAAGAACACAAGGCCAACAGTTTTGGAAAAACTCTCCCAGCAATCAGTTGCTCTGTCAGTGCAAATATTTCTCTTGGTGTCACAGGGGGATTAGCTCTGTGAATCCTGGCTCTGCTGCCCTCAGAGCTGAACCAAGCACAAGAGCAGCCCTTCTTGCAGAAGGTGACACCGCCGGGCTCCGGTGCACCAGGTCAGCCTCACAGAGCACACCTCACATGTTTGAAGGCTGCGCTGGAGGAGGCTGCAACCAGGAGAGCAGGGGAGCTTCCTGCAGGCCCTTGGGAAGCTGAGAGAGAACCCGGTGCATTCCTGCGCCTTCCCTCGCTGCCTTCATTCAGAAGGTGCTGATGCTGGCTCTCTGGGCCTGGCACACCGCTGCCTCTCTCACTATCCCAGTGTTTGAATCATAAACAATTTGTTTAAAACACTTGAAATCTTTCCTGGCAAGAGGCTGGCTCTGCGTGCTCATTGTGAAGCTCATGCATCATTCGGATTCCCAGCCCTGTGCCTGTGAGCCCCACAGCTTCTGCCATGCGGCGGGGAATGGGGACTCATGCTTACGTGTGTGCCTATGCTGGGCACTGAGTCAGGGGTCAGACTGTTGTGCAGGGCTGTGAGGTGCAGAGCTGCGAGCCTTGAGTCACTGGTCAGATCCCTCAGAGCCCGAGCACCAACTTGCACTGACACCACCTGCCATGGGGCTGTGGGGCCAGGAGGGCTCGGCGTGCTCTATGGGAAGTTTCAGCAGCCTCTGCCCTGCCTGCAGAACAGGCTGCACACAATGGGGGTGGATGTTTGCGCCAGTGCAAACTGCTGTGCTGGTGCTTTGCACCGAGCTGTGGCGTGGCAGCAGCACGGCGCTGTGGGCTGACAGCTCCTTTCTCCTTCCTGCCAGGTCTGCCCATCAGCACGTATGCCAAGTACTGCTACCGCAAACTCCAGAAAGTAGCCGTCACCGGGGGCAAGAAGGTGAGTGGCTGTGTGGTGCTGGGGGCTCGGGCTGCCGTGCAGCGCTCTGCTTTCCGTGTCCCAGAGGTGTCAGCCCTGTGACACTCGGAGGCCACTGCTGATTCAGTGATGGAAAATAGAGATAGAGAGCGGAGGAGGCTTGCTCATGGCTCATGGCTGATGGCTCATCTCCCCATGGATGTGTGGGAGAAGGCTGCTGCTGTGCTGCGGCCTTGGGGACCTGGAGGATAAAGCTGATGGCTCCCAGTCTCCAGGGCAATAGGAGCTACCTGCAGGGAATGCCCATCGCTGGGGAATCTCCGTTTGCACCCTGAGACCTTGCATGCGCCTGCTCTTCTACCTGGTTTACTGTAGAGTCGTGCATTTCCAGCTGAAGATGTCACACAATAGAGATCCCTGGTACAGATCAGGCCCCTGTGCTCTGGAAATCCCCCCCCTCCCTTTCCTCTGCACAGAGCTGTGAATGCTGGCATGCAGCCCCAGCCCGTCCATCCCAGGCCTCTGAGCCAGATCCGGTTGTCTTTTATTTCTGCAAATCCCCCTGGGGTGTCCTTGCCATCTGGACTCCATGTACAATGAGCAGATAGCTCGAATACCTCGGGAGGGGTGACACTGCTGTTGTTCCCGAGGGGCAGAGCAGGAGATGTAGGGTCACACGTTGTGCCCCAAGGGCTGCTGCTCCCATGGGCTCAGTGGGAGCTCCTAGGGAGCATCGGCGGCTGCTTCCATAGTGTCCTTCAGTAGGAACAGCTGCTGGATGCTCTATTGTGTGCGCCTCTCAGAGCCCTTTAGCACCTCTGAGGGTGATCCAAAGCCAGGCCCTGGGCTTGAACATACCTGGAATTCTCCTCTCCCAGGGCTGTTTCTCAGCTGTCCTGCGACCAGGCGCTCTCCTGAGCTGGGGCCGGTGTTCGCATGCCCTCTGCTGGCCTGGCTGCAGCCCAGGCACAGACCGGCCCTGCACCCTTCCCGCGGAGCTGGCTTTGCTCCCGCATGCAAACCCCTACAGCAACACCCCAAACTCCAAAGCTGCCCCCCGCCAGCAGGCAGCAGCTGTTTGCTCGTTTTGAGCTGAATGCCTTGGCTCCCCTCAGTTACAGCATGTGCAGAGCCAGGGCTGCTGGGGGGCTCCCAGAGGCGGCACACACGCGAGCAGCCCTCGGCCCACGGCTGTGCTCAGCTCTCCTCTGTCCCCAGGGCCTCCGCAAGCCAACAGTGGAGGAGATCACACATGCCAGAAATGCCATCGTGACGCCGTCGCTGTTTGGCAGCTCTCTGGAGGAGATCATGCTGCGGCAGCAGGACATGTACCCGGGCCACAAGCTGCCCTGGGTGCAGACGCAGCTATCGCAGCAGGTCCTGGCTCTGGGAGGAGAACAGACTGAAGGGATTTTCAGGTGAGCTTGTGGGGTTCTGTGTTACTTTTGATCCACCTGAGCATCGGTCCTGAAAGCTGAGAAATGACGATTGACCTCAGCGGGGTTCCCCTTCCCTGGGAAGAGCACACTGCCAGACAGAAAGCAGTGAACTTTCTCAGGCTCAGGGTGGTGAAGTAGCATCAGCCCATTTGCATGTATTGTCACAAGGGAAACCCTAGATGTGATTTGAGCTTGTGACAGCGCAGCACTGAATTTCTGTTAGACAGCAGCGGCCGCCAATGCAGGGAAGGGTAAAGTTCAGGCTGCTGGTGGAGCTGCATCTGCAGCCATGGTGTGTGAGCTTCCCACGCCCTTCTGGAGAAAGTCTGTTCCCCTGTGAGCCCCACGTGCTCCACTGGTGCTGTGTGTGCTCCCTGGAAAGGAAGGGGCTGCCTGGTAGGTGGAAGTCTGAACTGACTGGGAAGGACAGCACCAGACAGGGAGCAAAGCACAGCACAGCACTGCTGTGACTGCAGCATCCCTTGCAGGAGGCAGGCTGTAGAACGGGGCTTTGCTAGAGAGTAGCTTGCATTGACCTTAATACAATGCCCTACTTGTAGGTTTGCTGCTTTTCTCCTGCATTCAGTGGGTAATTAAGACTTGAGAGGTTGCAGATAATTATCACATGTGGGATCTCCCTGAGCGGGTCATGCTGAAAGGCAGACCAATGCCAATCAGTACTCTCCAGTGACTGAAAGCAATTATAGAAGGATGACAGAAACTGTCAGATAAAAGCAGTTCATCAAATGCAGCGCTTCAGCCTTGATGATGCACACAGCTCAGGATGTCCTGCTGTGGATGAGCATGTGAGGATTCCAAGAGACAGAGTATCCGTATGATGAATGCGGGGCTCTGAATTTGGTTGTTTTCTTCTGTTGTTTGCTTGTTTTAAGATTTGTGTTATTTTTTCAATTATTAAATTTAATTGAAGGTAACTCACAAAAGAATCAACTTCGCCTTGCAGTAGTTTCTGATATCTTGGCATATTTAGCCAGAGGTGCTTTTATCTCTGGGCTGACTGTGCTGCTGGGGGTGGGGGGACAGTTACAGCTGATGTCTGAGGGAAGGAGATGGGTGGCTTTTCTGCCTGCATTTTAAAGCTGTGTCTAAAAGCATTCTTTCTGACGAGCTGCTTCTGTAGCTGCTGCTGGTGTGTGCTCCCTTCTTCCCAGTGCTCCAGAAGCACTTTTGGAGGCATGGTTTGCTGACCAGCTGCCTCACCAGGCACACTGCCATGTACCATTTGCCTTCTGAAGTGTCCTTGCTGTGCCTTTGCTTGCAGGATACCTGGAGACATAGATGAAGTCAATGCACTGAAGTTGCAGGTGGATCAGTGGAGAATTCCAAGCGGCCTCAGTGACCCCAACATCCCAGGTAAGGTAATGCCACGTGCGTGTGCAGCATCAGCCATGGTACAGAGCAGAGGGGAGGGTGTAGGAGCAGCCCAGGATACGTGCTGCTGTCTGGGGACAGGTACACACTGCTGTACTCTGCGAGCTGTCTTCACCAACTGGCTTTTTTTTGTGTGGCCTTTCTGCTGCTTTTCCAAATGCTGTCCATGGGAAAGCACTGGGGGTGATGGAGGATCTGTCAGAGTGAGACTGCGCAAGCCAGGCAGCATGCAGGGCAGCTGGGAGCAGACCAGCAGCAGCAGTTTTGCTTCCAGCATCTCTGAGTTGCCCTCTAAGGTGGAGCAGCACAAGTGCGGAATCCTTTATCTGCCTTCTGGTTCCTGAGGCATTTTGTCTGCCTGCCTGGTTTGTCTCTGAACATGGTAGGAAGGCAGCCAGAGTTGTTCTCATGCACCCTTCTTTCTGTCCAGCCTCTCTCCTCAAGCTGTGGTATCGGGAGCTGGAGGAGCCTGTGATCCCCCAGGAGTTCTACAAAGAGTGTATCAGCAACTACGAGAACCCTGACGCTGCTGTGGCCGTGGTGCAGCTTTTGCCGGAGCTCAACAAACTGGTGCTGTGTTACCTCATACACTTCCTGCAGGTAGGCAGCCCAGCCATCTGCTTCTCTGCCACCAGCAAGTGGCCCGGGCAGCAGGAGAGCTGTGCTGTGCCATCAGCTGGCTGTTGGGCCTCTCACCCATGTTTAAGGTGGGATTAATGGAGGGAGTTCTGCTGGGTGACGGCGTTCCCGACCTCGCGGGGTACGGGACTGTTCTCAAACAGGGACAGGTTGGGATCTGCAGGAAGTTCCCTGCCTGCAGAGGCTGCTGCACCATCGGCTGTGCCAGAGCATGGTGTTCTTTCCCTGTGGATGCATGGTGGTTGGGGTGTTGTCCTTCAGGGAGCCACATCTCTGCTGTCCTTGCACCTCTTCTTAGGCCCCGTGTTTGGAGTCCCTTGCCCTTTTCCGCCGCTCCAGCTCATCTTTTCCTTACCACTTGCAGATCTTTGCTCAGCCATCAAATGTGGGCAGAACAAAGATGGATGTGAACAACCTGGCCATGGTGATGGCCCCCAACTGCCTGCG